AATAAATAAATAAATGTTTCTTACAGGTTAAAAAAAATCTAGGTTTTCTGATATTAATATGGTTGCTCTGTCTTTCTTTTTGTGATCAGTAGCATGATAGACGATTCTGCATCCCCTTACTTTCAGTCTGAAGGTGTCCTTAGGTCTAAAATGGGTCTCTTGCAAACAGCATAAAGATGGATCATGTTTTCTTATCCATTCTGCTACTCTAAGTCTTTTGTTTGGATCATTTAGTCCATTGACATTTAGAGTGAATACTGAAAGATATGAAATCACTGCCATTGTGTTGCTTGTGGAGTTTGAATTCCTGGTGGTGTTCTCTGGTCTTTGTTGCTTTTGGTCTTTTCTGTTTTGGTTCATCTTTTATCCCCTCAGAGGCCCCCTTCAAAATCTCTTTATGGGCTGGTTATTGGTCACAAACTTCTTTAGTTTTTGTTTGTCTGGCAAACACTTTATCTCTCCTATTTTGAATGACAGTCCTGCTGAATAAAGAATTTTTGGTTGCATATTTTTTCAGTTCAGCACACTGAATATATCCTGCCACTCCTTTCTGACCTGCCAAGTTTCTGTGGATAGATCTTCTGTGAACTGATTGGGATTCTCTTGTAGGTTGACTTTTTTCCCGTGAACTGATTGGGATTCTCTTGTAGGTTGACTTTTTTCCCTTGCTGCTTTCATAATTCTTTCCTAGTCTGTTTATTTTATGAATCTGACTATGAAATGACTTGTTCATAGTCGGTTTTTGCTGAAACCAATGGGAGTTCTCTGTGCTTTCTGGATTTTGATGTGTCTGTGTCTTTCCCCAGGTTAGGAAAGTTTTCTGCTATGATTTGCTCACATAAACACTCTACCCCTTTTTCCGTCTCTTCATCTTCTAGGACCCCTATGATTTGGATGCTTTTCCACTTTAATGAGTCTCTGAGTTCTCTAAATCTTCTATCGTGCCCTTTTGTCTTGGTTTCCCTTTTTTTTTTTTCTGTTTCACTATTCTCTGTAAATTTGTTTTCTGCATCGCTGACTTGCGGCTCTGCTTTTTCCATACTTGCCATCATGGTATCCATTTGAGGTTGCATCTCAGTTCTAGCATTTTTAATTTATTACCAACAGATTTTAATTCTTTATCTCCACAGAAAAGGGGAGTTTGCTTTTTCAACCTCAGCTAGTACTCATATTATTGGGATTCAAAATTCTGGTTCCAACATTTTGCTTATATCCATGTTAAATCCCTATGTTAAGTTCTTTTGGGCTGAATTCCTTTGTGTGGTCATTTTGGAGGAAGAAGTGTACTGCTAAAAGAACAAAAAATTAACTACAACACAAAAATATCAAATAAAAGGTGCTGGGACTTAGATGTGTTTTTATCTGGTTGTTGAAAGAAGAGAAGAAGGGACAGAAAAGAAAAGAAAAGAAAAAATTAAGAAAATTGAAATTTTAAAAAATTAATATAATAAAATAGAATAAAATGAAATGTTGAAAGTAAAATAGAGTAACAAAATTAACAAAAATGTAAAAAATATAGTAGGAAAAAATTTTAAATTTTTATAATAACGAAAAATAAAAATAGACTTTTTCTCTTTCAGTATTCAAGAATAAGAAGGAAAAGAAAAAAAAATAGAATAGATAGACCTGCAAACAGAATGAAATATGAATTATCTTACATCCAGTTTCCCAGAGAAGTCAAACTATGGAACACTTTATGGTCCATACACTAAGCAGGCAGAGAGACTGGTGGTGGTCCTCTAGAGCTAGGTTGGCACAGTCAGATGGGAGTTGGCGTATCTGCTCCATTCTCCACGAGATGACTCTGCTTGGCTTACTGAGGTGAATCATTGTGGCGTGTTGTCTGTGTGAATGCATGTACAGGAGAGCTATAAATGACATCACCCAGCTAGCCAGTTTCTAGCCTCAGAACTCTGTGCTCTCACCCATGGACACTCATGCACCCCAACTTTGTCTACAGCTTCCATCCACAGCCTGCTTTTACACTATCAGCAACCAACCCATCAGCCTGCCAGGCGGTACCTCCCTTCTGAATTTTATCTCAGATGGGGCTGTGTTTCCAAACCCTTCATTTCTGAGGCCCCTGGAGCTTGGACCCATACTGGCCTTCAATGGGAGGGTCTTGATGAGCAATGGTCAGTTGCTGACCACCACTGAGGACATTTGTGGGACCACGTTGCTACAGATGCCTAGAGTCTACAGTCGGGTGCCAACATGCCCCACAAAATTTTCGTGTGATCATGCAGTAGCGTCTCAGCAATTATGGTAAATGATTACACCCATCTGGCACCAGACCTCACCTTCCCTTTCTGGTTCCAACACCAGAAAATGGCTCTTCTCTGGGGTCTCCTGGGAACTTTGCCTGGGGGGAGGGCTCATGTCTTCTACCAAATGTATTCTTAGCAGAGGAACCTCCTCTCCCTATGTGGCCCAAGGAGCTCTTAGACCTTGCTCTCTCCCTCTGGGGATGGGCCTTTCCTACCAGAGCACTACCAGGTAGTGTGGTGCAGTTTCCAACTCTGGGCTCCCTTGTTTCTAGATTCCTTCCTAATGGTATTGAAACCTCCTTTCTGCTTTCTCCCTTTCTTGTTAATTCCCTTATGGGTGTTTCCACTCTTTCTCTTTCTCTCCAGCTGCTTTCAGAGGGAATGCTTTCCTGTATTATACCCCCTTTATCTCTCTTCTTCGCAAGCAAAAACAACTCCCTCCCCTCTGTGGCTTCTCTCTCCCACAGATCACCTCTATGTGCAATCTACCTGCCAAGTTCTGGGAATAAAGCTATGCAGATTGTTGTGTTAATCCTCCGATAAGTTTTCTAGGTGTACAAAATGACTTGGTGCTGATCTAGCTGAATTTCGGGAATGAGAGAAGCAGAAAACTGCCATTCTACCCTGCTATCTTGGCCCCTTCTCCTGAGTCACTATTTCTAAAGGGATTGTGAGCTTCTTTGTGTTGTGCTTCACTTATCCTCGATTTAATAAAAGTAGAGTCTAGGGGCACCTGGGTGGCTCAGTCGGTTGGGCGTCTGACTTTGGCTCAGGTCATGATCTCACAGCTTGTGGGTTTGAGCCCCATGTCTGGCTCTGCACTGACAGCCAGCTTAGAGCCTGGAGCCTGTTTCAGATTTTGTGTCTCCCTCTCTCTCTGACTCTCCCCTGCTCACGCTGTCTCTCTCTCTGTCTCTCAGAAATAAATAAAACGTTAAAAATTTTATTTAAAAAAGTAGTGTCTAAACTCATGTGTGTTTCAGGAAAATACGGAGAAGTATATGTCCCTTTGGGAAAAATGACTTTGGGCATGGAGAAGTCAATTCCAAGATGGCAGAGCGAGGAGAGTTGCCATAAGTCACATATGACCACCAAGACATATTGGCAGAACATGGAAATGTGCTTTGGGAAACCCTAGAAGAATGGATTATGTGAGAAATACCAAGTAGAAAAGTATAAAAGGGATAGAAACATCTTCTACTGTTATACATATACCAAGGGTAATTTTTGCACCACAAAAACCAGAAAGGTCTTTGAAGCCTTTGTTACACATAATTTCTATCAGTGTATAATGAAAGAATCCAAGCCTAAAGTTCTCTCTTGGCCAGCAAAGGTGCAGACTCGGGATTAAAAGTGAGACATGGCTATTGTCAGGGAAAAGACAAGAGCCCTAAATAAAGTTCCTTGATCCATATTTATTAAGATCAAAAGGCTTACAAAGGTAACTGGCATGTACAAAGAGACAATGAATTGGTGAACATTAGCTCATGGGTATGAGGGAAAGGGGGTTTTGAAGATATATGGTGTTTGGGGTTTGAGTCAATATAAAACAAAATCCTGTCACTAAGCAGATGGGCAGAGGTTTTTAATGGTAGATAGTAGGCACTGTGTCTCTTTATCTTCACTAGCCTGGGGGATAAGACATGTAGGGCAGGGGCGCCTGGGTGGCTCAGTGGTTTAAAAGTCCGACTTTGGCTCAGGTCATGATCTCATGGTTCGTGGGTTCAAGCCCCACGTCAGGCTCTGTGCTGACAGCTAGCTCAGAGCCTGGAGACTGTTTCAGATTCTGTATCTCTCTCTCTCTCTGACCCTCTCCAGCTCACACTCTCTCTCTCTCAGAAATAAATAAAACATTTAAAAAAGTTTAAAAAAAAGACAGGTATGGCAATAACTTCAGAAAAGAAACTTTATAAAAGAAAAGTCACCTTTTCTTTTATAAATCAGCTCTCTTCTGGACAACATCACCCACAGTGCAGCAATCTATAGCCCTATTTACTTGTTTATCTAATTTGGTCCTTCCTTCCTGTGAATGAAGCTTTCTGCCAAACTACAAAATTGGGGGATGTTTTTGCCCTGAATGTTTAATCCTGCTTACCTCATATACATTTGTATTGAGGGCCTTTGCTTCCCTCTCTATTCTGAGTGCCTTTGCACCCCCCATCCTGTGGGACCTGGGACCCCCCTACTCTATCCTGGGAGCCTTCGCTCCTCCCTGCTCTATCCTGGGGTCCTAATCTTGTTTACCAAAACTTGGGTGTGAGCATCCTATGGCTATGTACTTCTTTATGCCTTGTTAACCCATTTGTGCAAGCCCCAGGAATTCCTAAGCTTATTCTGCACAGTTGAGAATCTGGCTGGAATCTTCCAAGGAAAAGGAAGAGAGATGTCTTGAAGGTAGACCAAGACTAGTTCCAAAATCATTTTGAACTTTTACCAAACAGTGAAACTCACCCCTGTGTTTTTAGAAGAGTAAACAAGGTGGGGCACCTGGGTGGCACAGTTGATTGAATGTCTGACTCCTGGTTTCAGCTCAGATCATGATATCACAGTTTGTGGGTTCGAGCACTGCATCAGGCTCTGTGCTAATGTGTGGAGCCTGCTTGGAATTCCCTCTATCTCTACCTCTCCCCTTTCATGTTCTCTCTATGTAAATAAAAAAAATAAATAAAATTTTAATACAGTAATAAAAAAAAGAAGTAACAAAGGTGTTTTCTAAGAAGAAGTGGACTCCAATTTTATAGAACTATGAGAGAACAGAAAAATTTTATTACAACAATAAGCAAACAATTCACTGGGTGGGGGCAGTATGTGCAGCAAGTAATGAAGGTTTGAAATGTTGGAGGTGAAGTGACAACAGTTTTACAAGAAAAGAGAGAACTGGTTATTCAGCAAATATGTTGTTTTGAGGTCGGTCAAAAAGTTGCTATAGATACATCTGAACACAGCAACTGTTGTTCTCTTATGTGTTGAATCTCTCCTTTACTCACTCTTTCTGGCATTTCATTTAGTTGAGTCCTGAGAGATGGATTTTCCAGACAACTCTTTGTTCTTCAATGGGCAGGTGATAAGGAACAATTTGAGTCCTTCTGTAAAAAATATAACTAAATACATTTTCACTCCTCTGGAAAAAATTCTATAAGCATCGATAGATTACTCAACTCGAAGAACCAATCTTTCTAACAAACCATATGGGTAAGGAGATCACTGTGTCCTAAAGGCAAAAATAAGTGAGTAGAAGCCACAGAGAGAGGATATACACCAATCTAGAAAGAATCTAGATGTTCCTTGGGGTAAACAGAGAATGTTTGGGGTCATCTGCTTAGAAGAGCATCATCACCTTCTACTCTGGAGTTCCACAAATTGAGAATTTGTCCCTCCCATGTTAAATCAATTAAACATCTACCAATCAACAGTGAACTTGATTATATCCCTAAGAGTCTGAGAGACAGAAGTGAGAGTGCTCCAACATTGGTGAATGAGTTTGGGGGTGGGGAGGTTGGCAGGGCCAGCAGAAAACGGGCAGGAAATGGGCAGATCTTTTCATTCTGGTTAATCTTCCATAAACAGGCGAGAGAAAAAAGGAAGAACCATCTTCAATGCTGACATGATCAAGTCAACTATCCTGTGCTGACTCTCAACTTCATATCTGGCATTTTGCTGCTTTATGGCATAGAGAGCCTCTCTCTCGGCCAATTCTCTCTCCATTTGTTCCATTCGTTTCTGCTGCTCTAGTTTATCCTCCAGCCTTCTGATTCTGTCTTCAAACTCCTTTCTTATCTGCACTCTCTCTCTCTCTAGCTCTTCTCTGTAACGTTCTTGCATTGCTAGAATTTGCTTCTGAATCTCCTCATCGGCCATTCGGTACATCTTGTTAGTGTAGCATCTTCCTTCGTTCTCGGCCACCACACGCTGGACCAGGGCCAGCAACTGGTCTCTCTGGACCTCCTGCTCGGCCCCCGTCGCGCGGTTGTTGAACACGCAGTAGCGATCCCCGAAATTGCCCATCAGCTCTCGGATGTCTTGCGGTGCTTCCTGTAAGTAATCGCGGAAAGGGATGCCATCCAAGTCGTCTTTCCGGGTGAATACGAGAATCATGTATCTCCTAGCTCTGACACCAAACATCTGCAGAATCTTCTCTGTGGCCTTGCGCTCTTCCGGCGTGTACCGGCCCAGCGGGACCACCAGGAGCAGAGCGTGAGGCCCCGGGGAGGTCAGGACGATGCAGTGAGCAATCTCCCTGCAGGTGTCAGCGTCCTGTGTCTCGGTGTCGAAAATGCCAGGTGTGTCCACCACCACAATTTCTCGTCCCCGCCACCTGCTGCTCCTTTTGCTACAGGTCTTGGTGACAGATATTGCGGCGAGGCTGGAAGGAAACACCTTCTCTCCAAGGATGCTGTTGCCCGTGGCACTCTTCCCTGCTCCTGTCTTACCCACCAAGACAAGTCTCAGCTGGGAATCTCGGCCAACTTCGTTCCTGAGCACTGGAACATCAGGAAAGAAAAGCCACAGCATTAGGGTGGGCCTCCAGCTGCCTCCCCTGCAGGGCCCCCCACTTCCCCTCACACCCCCTCCTCTGTTGCCCCAGGGTCCCTTCCCATAAGGGACTGCTGCACTCACAGGAACTCTATAGTAAGTCCTGCTAGAGAAGCCCCTTCAAAATCTACAGAATGTCTGATGGTACCCTTGCAATACTTGGTGAATGCTAAGGACTTTCCAGGGTTTGCTGGAGCTTCTTACTCTTACCTTCAGTAGCTAAGTAGTCCACAGAAGAGTGAACAAAATATTGTAGTTTAAGAAGAGAATTCTGAGCTGCTGCTGCTGGTAGCTGATCCTCTTAAGAGCAGTGCAGCAAGTAACACAAAATCTGACTTTGGGGCATCTCAGTGGGAGACCCCTCCCATTTATATTCAAAATGGAACTTTGCTTCTCCCATTAAGAAGCCAGCTGGGTGGGTTGCACAAGCCATCCCATCCTTACAGGGTACAAAAGGGATGCCTGTGTGAAAAGACAAAGTGTGCAACCATCCTGTCAGGGATTGTGACACGAGGGAGAACAAAATAATTTACATGTAAGGTAAAGGCCTTAACTTAGAATCCAGTGAAGTTTTTATAATCTAAATTAAGACATTAAAGAATTACAGGCAGAAAATATCAACAGTTCTCGAAAGTTATTATAAGATCTCTTGACATATAAAAAATGAAAGAAAGGAGCACCTGGGTGGCTCAATCAGTTGACTGTTGGACTCTTGATATTGACTCAGGTCATGATCCCAGGGTGGTAGGATCAAGTCCCACATGGGGCTAGACACTGAACGTGGAATATGCTTAAGATTCTCTCTCTCTCCTTTTTCCTGACTCCCTCTCACTCTCGTCGCCAAGTGGCACCTGTTTGGTTCAGTTAGTTGAGTGCCTGACTTTGACTCAGGTCATGATCTCTCTATTTATGGGATCCAGACCCACTTGGGGCTCTGTGCGGACATCTCAGAGCCTAGAGCCTGCTTCAGTTTCTATGTCTCCCTCTCTCTCTCTGCCCCTCACCTGCTCAATGTCTGTCTGTCTCTATATCAAAAAAAAAAAAAAAAAAAAAAAAAAAATAAAAGGGGGGGGTGCACCTGAGTGTCTCAGTTGGTTAAGTGTCCAACTTACTGAGGTCTGTGATTTCAAGCCAAACATTGGCTGTGTGCTGACTGCTCAGAGCCTGGTGTCTGCTTCAGATTCTGTGTCTCCCTCTCTCTCTGCCCCTTCCTTGTTCACTCTCTCTCTCTCTCTCTCAAAACTGAATAAATATTTTTTTAAATTTTTCAATAATAGAAATAATGGATTCAGTTGAGAGCATCAGTAGAGTTATATTTTCTAGCTTCACTAGATTATGCGTATTCTACTTCCAAGGAAAGTTCCGGGTAATACCAGCTCATCATAGCAATTCTCACATTTCTCAGAATAACTGTGCCTTAAGTTAAACACCAAATCATCTATACAGCTCTTCTGCATTTGTATTCAGTAGTTCATTGCATATCTCCTTACTGTGTCTATATAATCCCCATCTTCAGGATTTGTTAAAAACAGAACAATTCACCCCCTCCCCACCCTCCTGGAGGAAGTTAAGTCACAAGCACATTTGATTGTGATACACATTTGCGCCTGTTTAGGGGGCGCCTGGGTGGTTCAGTCGGTTAAGCGTCTAACTTCGGCTCAGGTCAGATCTCATGGTTCGCAGGCTCTGTGCTGATGTTTTGGATTCTGTGTCTCCCTCCTTCTCTGCCCCTCCCCCACTCATGCTCTGTCTTTCTCTGTCTCAAAAATAAATAAACTACTAAAAAAATTTTTGAAAGCCTGTTTTTCTGAGGAGGCAGACCCTGCCGGCACAGACCTTGAGTGAGGCTGCTTCCTGCATGAGGATACCTATATTATACCATCTTTACTGCTTGAACATAATGCATATATTATCACACTCACAATATTAGAGATACAATTATAAACTCCAATTTATTTCTCAGAGACAGCAACCGCATTTATCCAGTCTCGTAGACCCAAAATCAGTGTAGTGCCTTTGATTCTTCCCTTCCCTTCCCTTCCCTTCCCTTCCCTTCCTTTCCTTTTACCTTTCCTTCCCATATCCAGCCCGTCAGCACATTCTATTGGCTTCACCTGCAAATATGTCTGCTTCTCTCTCTCCACTTTGAAGGCCACCCCACTAAGTCCCCCTAACATCAGCATCCAGGACTACAGAATCTCCCAGCTGGTTCTCTGCTTCCATTTGTCCCACTTTGGGACAGCCTGAGGGCATCTCCCTAGTGAGGGGGAGTAGAAAAATCACAGTAGGAGAAACAGAAAGGCATTTTACCCAGAGAGGGTGGACTGGTAGACAGGAAAGGAAGAGCAGAGGAAATGAAGAAGAAATCAGATATGGTGATAGAAAACATTTGTCTCCAGCCAGATGGGGGCTGGCTGCCAGCACAGGAGAACCCCTCTGCTCACTGTCCTCTGCCAGCCTGGCCTGGGGGGACAGGATCAGGAACTCACCGATCTCACCACAGCTGCTCCTGGGGTCACCGGCGCTGCAGATTGGACCACAGTTGGAGGCTGCCATTGCAGTGTGAATTCCTGCCATAGAGAAGGATAACGTGTGGTTTTAGGGGGATGGAGGGTAACTGGGAGCCTCAAACTAGTGTACCCAACAGCTTCTTCTTTTCTGCAGACTTGCCATTGGTTTCTCTTCTGGAACTCTGTTGGCACTGCTTCAGGATGCCCTTCCCCTGGGTCACTGAGGATTTACTGACAGAGCCCTTCCACTGCCCTTAAGAAGCTAGCCTTGCCTAAACGACATATTCCTTGTTAATAAATTCCTTTCTTTGTCTTCTCTTTTAGTGCACTCTCCCTGCCTTTAAATACCCCTTTTCTGTAACTCAGTGGAACACCCCTCTATTTGCAGGATATGATGTTGGCTGATTCCTGAAACTTCCAGAAAACCAGTGATCTTGGCTGAATTTTCTTTCCTAACAGAATTACTGGTGCAGACTTTGATTAGGACAGGCTGAAAATGCTCATTGTTCAAGACAGGCTTCTCTGATGGGAAGCCATCACAACAAATGTACAACACTGTGATCAAGACAGACATTTCTCTTGTAAGAATTCTTTCTTCACCCCTTAAGGATAAAGGGTAGGAAAGAGTTTCTTGTAAACAGAGAAGGAAAATCACAGAATTTTTAAAATCAGCTTTGGGCACAAAGTTGGTGTTGGTGATGGGTGTTAGGGAGGGGAGGATAACAGAAATAGGGAAACAAAAGGTATTTGGGTGTTTCTTAAGGTCTTCTTCCAGCTGTGGGCTCTCTCTTCAATCTGGAATGCTGTGCTGTGTAGCCCAGCCCACATGTCAGATCAGAAGGCTGCACTTCTGGGGTGCTGACCTTGGGTGACTGAGTTCTCCTACTGCCTAAAGAACAGGCATTCATTGGTCTTCAGCTCCTCCTCAACTGCCAAGGGTCACCTGGGGGGGGGTAGAGGGTTACCTCCCTCATCTTACCCCCTAAGGTTTCCTCCTCCACAACTCTGAGTGGGGCTCAGAAATGGGTTGTCCCTGGGGAGGCAGGCTCCCAAGGGGCAGCTCTGAGAAGACAGTCAGCCTGGTAACAGAATTTCTGAATCTGACTGTGTGCTGGCTCTGAGGCAAGGGACAGTGAGCTGTGATTCTTCCATCTCCCTTCTGCTTCCCACAGAGCTCATTCTGTCTGCTCGCCCAACTCTATTCCTGAGAGCTTCAAGTCTATTTATGCATTCTATAAATAATGAGAGGAATAACTTATTTGTACAAGTATCCTGTAGGCAGTAATCCCTGAAAGACGATTGATTTGTAGGGCTCAGCCCTCAAAACAGGTTACAACCTAAAGTCAGAAAAAACAGGAAACAGAAACCAACAAGAAACAGAGTCTGAAAGCACTTTTGCCCGGAGGTTTAAGATGTACGTCCAGGGGAGAGGTCCCCTCTCCACCAAAATCACACATTACCCTCTGTCCACTCCCCCAAGTACCCCTTTTCTCTTACCTGGAAAATTTGGTTCCTGCTCCCTTCTCTAACTTAGAAGACAATACTAAGCCAGAATGTTGAGGAAAAAGAGAGAGGAAGTGAGAGGAGGAGCTTTCCAAACTTGCTCATGCAAGAGACCTGCCCACTTCATCATCTAGCCTCTCAGATAGAACTTCCTGCAATTATGGATTTCATTTTTGCAGTCCAATAGGGTAGCTATTAACCACGTGGGCTGTTGACTACATGAAGTGTGATGAGTGTGATTGCAGAATTGAATGTTTACTTTTATTTCACCTAAATTCATTTTTAAAGGTTTTATTTTTAAATAATCTCTCTAAGGCAAACCATGAAAGACTCTTGAATGCTGACAAAAACTGAGGACTGATGGATGTGGGTGGGAGGGGGGATGGGCATGGAGGAGGACACTTGTGAGGATGAGCACTGAGTGTTATATGGAAACTAATTTGACAATAAACTATTTGTAAAAAAAAAAAAAGAATAATATTAAATAAATAAATAAATAAATAAATAATCTCTCTACCCAGTGTGGGGTTCGAACGTACAACCTGGAGATCAAGAGTTGCACACTACACTGGCTGAGCCAGCCAAGCACCTCTATTTGAATTAATGTAAAGTTCGACAACCACATCTGCCTTATAAATACCATATTCAGCCATGCAGACTCTACAAGGAAGGACACAATACGGGCTATGCTGGGACATTCTGGAAAAACTGCTGAGTCAAAACAAGAGAGCTGCCAGCTATTCTGAAAAGCCTGTGGTTCCTGACCCCACGTCTCAGCACAACAGGTCTTCCAGCCCAACAACTGCTCCTGCTGCTTAGGTCTGTGTCAGTGTAGGCAGCCACTACCTCCTCTCCTTCCTCCCTGGGATAGGGGAGACAGAGTTGCTATTTCCAAGGTATTCTGGTTGAAGTAAGAGAAGGAACTTATCTTCATTTAACTAATTAGGATAGGTCCAAAGTCACCCTGTGAGATGGTGCACAGAACATTTGCAATTGGCTAATGATTGACATCTGACTCTGTCTTCCATGAAAATGTAAACTGTGAGAGTATTGTCAAGGGGGGAAGGGTCCCAGTTCCCTAGACACATGGATCCCATTATTTTTTTTTACCTATATGTTAGTTTTTCAGATATCTTTACTTTCTTTGTTTTTTAAAAGAAAGTTAATCTTAAAGTGGGAAACCTGAGTGGCTCAGTCAGTTAATCATCTAACTTCGACTCATGTCATGATCTCACTGCTCATGGTTTTGAGCCCCACGTTGAGATCTGTGCTGATAGCTCATTGCTTAGAGCCTCTTTGGATTTTGTGTCTCCCTCCCTCTGCCCCTTCCCGACTCGCATTCTGTCTCTCTCTCTGAAAAATGAAAATCTTGTTTTTTAAAGTTTATTTATGTAGGTCTGGGAGAGAGAGAGAGAGAGAGAGAGAGAGCTGCAGTGGAGGTGTAGGGAGAGGGAGGCTCCCAAGCAGACTCCATGCTTTCAGTGCAGAACCAGATGTAGGACTTGATCTCATGAACAGTGAGGTATGCCTTGAGTTAAATCAAGATTCCGGTGCTTAACCAACTGAGCCACCTCAGAAGCCCCATTATGGATCCCATTATAGAAGAGGTGCCAATCTACAATTATATCCCATAACTGAGACTTTATTAGAGTGCATAGGAGTTGAGTGATTATACAAACTAATAACTCCAAAATGATAAAATAGAATCATAAATATCTCTGAGGACAGTATGTGGTCACCCTGTGTATACAAGTACAAGGTAACTACTCTAAAATAGGAGACAAGGCATAGCAGAGCACTAGCAGTGAGGATAAGAAACTTTTCAGAACAGCATAAGCTAAATAACAAGGACAAGACAGGCAAACAAAGGGAGTCAAGAGAACAGTCAGGATGTGAACACACTATTTTGATTCTGAAGTAATTTAAAGAGAGAAAGAGTAGGATTATATTTTGTTTCTAAGCTTAAGGCCAGCTAGAAGGTTGTTTCTCTATTTACGTGTGACGGTGAGAGAGAGATTGACATAAAATATAATAAAAATTTTATGTACTATTAAATCCCTAGACCATTTCTTAGATATTCTTTATTTGGGTTACAAGGATCACTACACATAGGGAAATTCTCTGTTATGGGTTACACTTATAATGACACACAGGTTTGAGCTAGATCTCTCACAATAAGCCAAGTGTAGAGGGAAATTTCTAGCTTTAAAGCCTTCTATTAGAAAAGAGGGTGCCTGGGTAACACAGTTGGTTAAGCGTGTGACTCATGGTCGTTCATGACCAAGGTCATGATCTCACAGACTGTGGATTCATGACGCTCTCTCAAAAATAAATAAACAATAAAAAATTCTTTAAAGATATAAAAAAAATCTAAAAGTAATCATTTGATGTACCACATTTAAACATTGCAAAAGAAACAGCCAAATGGACTTAAATTAAGAAGAATAAAGGGTCAGGGAGCCTTGGTGGCTAAGTCGGTTAAGCGTCCGACTTTCACTTAGGTCATGATCTCGCAGTTCGTGGGTTCGAGCCCCGCGTCGGGCTCTGTGCTGACTGCCAGCTCAGAGCCTGGAGCCTGTTTCAGAGTCTGTGACTCCCTCTCTCTCTGACCCTCCCCTGCTCACGCTGTCTCTCTCTCTCTCTCTCTCCTAGAAATAAATAAAACATTTAAAAATAAATTAAATAAATAAATAAATAAATAATGTTGGGTAAATTAGACCGCCACATGCAAAAGATTAAAAGTGAACCCCTGTCTTACACCATGCACAAAATTAACTCAAAATGGGCGAACTACTTGAATGTAAGACTTGAAAACCTAAAAGTCCTAGAAAAAAACAGGCACTGAATTCATTCACATTGGTCTTGGTGATGATTTTTTTGAAACTGACACCAAAGGCAAGAGCAGTAAAAGTAAAAATAGGCAGGAGGGAATGCATCCAAGTACAAAGCTCCAACAGAGCAAAGGAATCTTTCCACAAAGTCAAACGCAGTACGAGAAAATCCTGGTAAATCATATATCTGATAAAAGGCTAACATCCCAAGTATAGGAAGAACTCCTGTATCTCAACAGAGAAAAGCAAACTGTTTGATTTAAAAATGTGCAGAAGATCTGAATAGACATTTCTTAAAAAAAAGAAAAAGCATACAGAGAGCTAACAGATACACAAGAAGATACTCAAAATCATTAATCCTCAAGGAATGCAAATCAAAACAACAACGAGATATCACCTTACATCTGATAAAATGGCGAGTATCTAAAACCCATGAACTAACAAAAGTTGGCAAAGATTGTGGGGGAAAAAGGAGGGCTTTTGCACTTCTGGTTGGAATGCGAACTGGAGCAAACACTGTGGAAATCAGTATGGAGATTCCTCAAAAAATTACAAATAGAGCTACCATATGATTCAGTGAAACCACTTCTGGGTATTTATCTCAAGAAAGCAACACACTAACTGGAAAAGATGTCTGCATCCCCATTTTCATTGTAGCATTATTTATAATAAGTGTCCACTGGATAAGTGGATAGAAAAATCACAGCATGTGTGTGTGTGTGTGTGTGTGTGTGTGTGTGTGTGTGTGTAATGGATATTAGTCACCAAAAAACCCCCACCAAAATTCAATTTTTGCCATTTGCAACAACATGGATGGATGTCAAGAAAATTATGCACAGTGAAATAAGACAGAGAAAAACAAATATTTATGATCTCCCTTATTATGGAATCTAAAAAAACAAAACAAAACAAAAAAAAACAAACAAGAGAAACTCATTGATACAAGAATAGGTTGGCGGTTCCCAGATGTGAGGGAATGGGTGACACTGGGGAAAGGGGTCAAAAGATAAAAAATAAAGTATAATGAATATATCATGAATACCCATATATAGACTGGTAGAAAATAGCAAGACTGCTAGAATATTTTTAATTGATTATTCAATGTATTTTAAAGGGGATGAATTTTACTTTATGTAAATCATAATTCAATAAAGCTGAAAATTGCAGTATTTTGGCACAATTGGATGCAATTAAGATAATCAATTGTGGTAGATTTCCATGATGTTTTTTCATTTACTCATGTATTTTGAGATAGAGAGAGCATGCATAGGAGAGGGGCAGAGAGAGAGGGAGAGAGAGATTCCAAGCAGGCTCCACGCTGTCAATGCAGAGCCCTACATGGGGCTTGAACTCACAAACCATGAGATCATGACCTGGGTCAAAGTTATCATTTGGACATTTAAACTACTGAACCACCCAGAAGCTCCAACATGATATACAATCATGCAAAACTGGACACAAGCTGTCACACTACGTGTGTCCATGACTTGTAACAATATGAATTTGTGTCTTTTCTCACCCAGAGATTGAATCTATTCCCTTGGAGCTCAAAACCTCAACGGTTTTGCAGTTTGCTTTTGACAATGTCTGCTCCTTTAAGCATTTCTTGTTTCTGCTTTGTAATTTGACACCTTTTCCCAACCCATGTCCTCCTTCTCACCCATTCAAAAATATCTGTAACGCTTTACTAGAAATGAAATAATAAAGAGATGAGAGGATGATTCTATGCACCTCACAGTTCAGTCCCCAGGAAGTCTGTGGTCTACGTTAGCCAGTTACCCAATTCCCAGAACCTTCTCAACAGAACAAGCACAGTTGTTGTAAATTTACCTGTGCATAACCACACTTCTTTCTTGTCTTGGCCACAAACATTTCATAACACATCGTCTTCTGTTTTTGTCTCACCCGTTACACAGAGCTGTGAATACCTCACAGGATACGTGGTTAAGGTAAAAGGTAATGATCCCTATGCAGCCCTACCCTGGAAACCTAATTAAGCACGGGCTTGAGTTGAGTAAATAGACCAGTGAGGGCTGTCCACTTGACTCTGACTTTCAGGGTCCTAACAATGGAGCTTTTAAAAGCCCAAAGTGCTTATAGAAACCTAGTAGGTCGATTTCTTATTGCCTATTTGAAGTAATACCAACTTGTAATTTGAATTCGAATGTCTCTTTTCTCAAGTTGTGAATGGGCACAAATGATGCCTAGTAATTAACATCAAAGGAGTTTGCACATTCTCTCTTACTACAT